TAAATGGGGACTCTTACTCCGGTGGGAGGAAAAATGCTGGCGGCGCCTTGCAAAAAGGAATCGGGAGCAGTTGCCGGTAAGCGCAAAAAACCCCGCGCGCCTGAAAAGGGCGCGAAGCAACGGAAACTCCGCCTCCTGTGCTCGCCAGCTGGGCTCTGCCCTAGGAAGGAGGCTCTGGCAAACCACTTCACACTTGCCTTGAAAACTGCAAGGACTCATCCAAAGCAGTCACTGCAGAGTCGGTAACGACTGAGCGCAGATAAAAAAAAAAAAAACTATCTGGAAATTGAATAGAAGAAGGATTATGATTGGGCTCCCTAATAGGCTTTCCTCTTGGAGAAGGTTTGTCTATATGGCCGCTAAGAGTCGACTCCAACTAATGGCATATCATCGATCAATCAGTAAGGTTGTTGGTGACAACTACTAAAGAGGTGAGTTGAGGCAAGAGTTCCCGCAATGAGAAAAAGGCCTGCCTTTATAATTAGATCTGTGCCGCTACCAAGCTGGAAGAAAATCTGATGTATTGTCCAAAGAGGATATATGAGAATACAGCTCTGCCCACGCATGCTACATCAGCACAAATGCTGGGTGCAGAGAGATGTTCTGAATGAAACTACTGTTCAGAACTCAAAATAGTTGGAGATATGGGGAATATCTTTTCTGCCCCCTTCTTGGCAACTATAAAATGCTCAGGTAATTGGTAGCTATATAGTAATTTATAGCATAGCAATATAAATCCTTAGGAGGAAACAGGAAAAAAAAAAAGAGGTCCCTTAACACTTTTCTGTTGACTGCTGTACCTCCAGGTTTGAACACCTTCTTAGTCTATGGTCCTGAACAGGGGCATTTCTTTTATGAAGCGGAATTGCATCACAACATGTTGTTCTACTTTTTACATAGAAAGAGGTGAGCAGACTGTCGTGTTAGGATCCTGGAGTTTATTCATCTACCTTCCATGACATCTCTTCACTCACCAACAGCACCTAAATCTCAATCTGTATAGCTGCTTTTTTTGGTATATACAGTATTTTCACCAACTTCCTCTCAGTTTTCCTTCTTTGTCTTTTTTCCTATATGTAAGATTTGTCTTGACCAGATTTTCAAAACTGTAATATATCCAACATGGCTCTTCATACCTGTTTTTAAGGGGCCAGGTACTGTTCTTTGATTCCAGAAATCAGCCCTTGACTTTTTAGTCTTGCTTTTAAATTGCTCAACAAATTGTGCTAAAAGTGTTTTCCTATAGACTAGTCAAGGTGGTAAGTGGGTGTTAATTCCCAGTGTTCATTTGCATGAGATGAGAAACTCATTCAGGAAGCTAAAGGGAATATCGAGGTAATTAATCTATTTATGAGAGCCAATTAAAATGTCTTAAGTTTATAGTAATAGCCCTGCTAGATCTGACAAAAAGTCTGTTTATTCAAACATCCTGTTACCCTTAGTGGCCAACCAGAAGGCTTCGAGGAACCTTTCTTGCTCTGTCTTCCCAGCAACTGGTCTCCACTGCATTGCCTAAAACTAGTGCACTAGCTTTCAAGTACAGTGGTACCTCTACTTACGAATGCCCCTACTTACGAAAATTTCAAGATACGATCAGCTCCGGCCCCAAAAATTTACCTCTACTTACGAATTCGCCTCGACTTACGAGCCATTTTCTGCCCGTTCCATGTAGTCCACGGCCATTTTTCCGCCCGTGCCACGTGGTCCGCAGCCATTTTTCCGCCCGTTCCACGTAGTCCGCGGCCATTTTTCCACCCCTGACACATGGTCCGTGGCCATTTTTCCACCCCTGACACGTGGTCCGCGGCTGTTTTTCCACCCCTGACACGTGGTCCGCGGCCATTTTTTCCGCCCTGCCGCGTGGTCAGCGGCTGTTTTTCCGCCCCTGCTGCGTGGTCCGCGGACGCCGGAACGGATTGACGGTAATTACATTGAACCTTATGGGAAAATTTACTTCGACTTGCGACCAACTCGACTTGCAATCAGAGTCACGGAACGGATTAAATTCGTAAGTAGAGGTACCACTGTATTGTAGAGCTTTTTGGCTGGATGAAGAGGAAGGGGAAAGTGGGAGAAGTTCCTTGGTGTGATGGAAAAACCTGTGGCTTTGAAGATGAAAACTTACCACTTTGTCACTGCAACTGTTCTAACAGGGGCAATTACATAAATTTAAGTAATTTGGTCCTTATGACCAAAGTCCAAAATTAGGGAGTAGCAGTGATTTTGCTGAATGTGAATAGTGAGGAGCTTGCATAGGAAACCACCTGATGTTGAAAATAAAGGAGAATAATACGGTATTTGCTTCTTACAGTTTCCATTTCCCTTTCTCTCTGCCAAAATGTAGGTTATAAGTTTTCAGGGGAGATCTATTACTGTTATTAGGTTTATGTTATACTAGCTAGACTAATGTCTGATCTAAACATATGATAAATACAAAGTATATGTTGGGGGAACATTCTGCAAATAGCCTCCTGCACATTGTTTAGCTCATTCTGATTTTGTATAGTCAGAAGGGATACCAAAGAGTTGACATGCTGAACTCCTGTGCCATGTTGTAACCATCTCTTTTTTCGAGCATCACTTCATACAGTTCCTCTTTAACAATAAAGGATCAGTCATGGACCCTAACTTCCTATTCTCACCTTGCGGGCCTGTCCTGAATTGACTGAACATAGCAACAAGCTCCTGGGGTGTACAGAAATGCATTAAAACAGTACATTTCAGTAAACCAGTTCAAAGTGAAATGCTTTTCTTCAGCAGAAACCACAAAAAGAAAAAGGAAGGCCCAGTTTGTGTATATGTGGGAGATAGATGATAGATAGATAGATAGATAGATAGATAGATAGATAGATAGATAGATAGA